GCTCAGAACACTTAATTCTTTCTTATTAATAAGCCTCGCCGCTACAGGCACGACAGTGGACTGGAGGATTTTCTTTGCTCTCTGCAGGGTGTTGTCCTGTTGGTTTGACTTGGACCCTGTTGGTAGTGAAAATGCAGGGTTGACTGTTTCTAAGAAAGGTAGAGGACTTGGGTTAAATCCTTCTCTCCATTTCAGGCTCTCTGCTGCCAGTAGGGATGAGAAGGCTTGTGCTCCTGAGGGAGGACCTTTCATCTCCAGGAGTGGAGCGCAGATGGGGCCGGTCTCTTTCCGTGAAGGTCTACTGGAGGAGTAGGGAGCTTGTTCCAAGTCTGAATGTCATTGACATCAGATGATCCAGGTTTGACTACAATGTGTACACTAGCTACATGGGTAAAGTTTTCATTGGGTGCAGTACATGCACCCGGATACTCTGGGTTTACGTACAATTGTGTAGACTGTTGTATGGTGTATATTGGGCAGATGACTTTTGGCATGTGCATGGGACATGTAGCATAGTGTGTAAACTCCTATTACTCTTGGCTATTTTTTTGGACTTGAAAGACGGTTATCAGGTTAGAGATGCAGGACAATCTGAAAGCCATGCCTTATCTTTAGTTTACTGCATGGAGAACTGAGTCTTTGATTTTGAAACCAATTTTAACTTGCAGTCTGTTAGTTGTCATCTTCAGTATTCAAGCCAGTGTTTTGATACAAGAATTTCTGGAGTAAGCAAACTAGAGACCAGGTCAGGGAGAGACCAGTATTTAAGGTTGGTTATGTTGAAGTGTTTGCATTTGAGATGGCTCCACCAGGAATTTAAGGATCTGTGTAGTGATTAAATACTTTTTACACTGTATTCCAATGAGCAGGTGACAGCTGTCAGACTGGGGAGTAGGGAGCATTACTGCTGGTGAACTTGGGCTGTGCCGAGTGAACAATGTGAGCTGAAGGTAAGAAAAGGGGAGATTCAGGTCAGTGTGAGGAGAGCTTTTAAAGTTGGGAGCAGTCTGCACAGCACATCCTGGTCCCCTCTGTGTGGAGGATGGGAGTGGTTAGTCTTGCTTCTTTTACAGTGGTTGACGATAGGATGCTATTGAGGTTTCTAGCTCCTGGTCTCAAGAGAAGAGTGGTATCCTGGTTATTTGTTCACAGAACAGCCTCTCAATGTGGCTAGACCACAGTGGTGCTGAGGGGTACGAGTGACTCTAGAATGTTTTTTTATTTAGAGTGGAATGCTCCGATTGGCGCTCCCCAGTCCCTGCCCACCTGAATGCAAACAGTGCTGATGGACGTCTTGTTTGGAGATGAGAATCCATTGAACAGTATTGGCCGTCTGAATGGATATCGTGAATGTTTTGTGAATATTGAACACGTGGGGAGGTTGTGGAGAACATTGTCCACTCATTGAGTTTTGGCACTTTGCATCTTGGGACTGTGGTTCTCTACCCTTTCCCAAAACAGACAATGGAAATATCAAACTATAGTGTTTGATTTAAAAGTATCTTGTTTATATGGAGTCGAGTTTAAGTGTCTTATCTAGCAAATTCCAAATGCAATGCCTTTTCAGTTTTATACTAGGCTTAGTTTTGGGATTCACTGGGCAAGTTGAGCTTCCTGTTGAACTGTAGGCTTTTTTACTGTAGGTGTTTGTTTTGGTGATGTTTCTTGCTTAAGCAATTGTAGCACCAGCAGCCTCCTCCTCTTGAGACTCCTTGGAGATGGGTTCAAACAGTGAAATACCATGTCGGGAGACCTAGTCAGATCAGTGAATTCCTCACCACTCAAGAGTAGACACTGCAGCTGTGGGCTTGAACCACCTTCAAAGGTAGGAGAGGCTTTCTTTTCCGACTGCTGCTCTGCACACCAGCCTTTTGATGGCTGTTCCCAGGAGCACCTGAGCCACCTGGCTGGTTGAGCCAAAGTTGACTTTGGTCTAGGTAAGAGGAGACTCTGATTATGTAGCCTGCAGCTGCTGGGGTGCTTTGTTGGTTTTTTAGCCTTAATGATAGTGTCACTGTAGCATAAGTACTGGTTAATCAGGGGAAGGAAGTCAAACACTGAAAGTGTTGTGCAAGCACTGGGGAGGATTTGGCAAAATTGTTTATGGTATGACTGGAAAATTAGAGAATTGTCAGTATGTAAGATTTATTTCATGGGTGCACACATGTATCTAAATCTTACATTGGAAATTTTAAAGTGAATTGAGTAAACTAAGCTGAGTATGGCATCTTCCTGATTACCCACTGAGACTGTGTTCTGTGAATGTCCACCACAATCAATCCTGTCAGAGGTTTAGTGCACAAAGGAGTGAGTTTCCAGCTGATTTGGAAGTGGTTGTGTACTGTGCCTTGTGAGGGAGAGAGCTGCATGAAGACTGTCTGAGGACTTTCTTATACTGGATGTGTACTTTAACCAATGAGCACAAACTGTTATTGGTGTAAAACTGACTGTGAAGCTTGGTTAAGTGGTTCTGTTGATCTTTCAGAAAGCCTTTTTAAAGGTGCTTCTAGTCACTGGGGAACGTGAGTCTTAGTTTGACCATGGGTTCATCGGTATGTGTTCAAAGTGTTATCTCCATGATAGTCGAGTGCATGATGCAGCTCAAAGACTTCAGTCCACTTGGTGCCCTATCAATCAGTTTCGAGTACTGCATGCTTTTGTTTCAGTTTAAAGTGTTTAAGCTCTAAAGCCTTCTCACCTCAGTTAAGGCTGTAGCTGTTTGGTACTGAAGATGGAGAGTGTTTTGATTTCATACTGCTGTGGATCCTTGGTGTTTCTGATTTTTTTTTTTTTTGCAAAACCAGAAGCGGCTTGGCTCAAATGAAGTTTAAGGCAAAGGTTCTGCTGCACTAGGTATACACTTCTAGGGTCTCTTTAAAAAGACTGAATTTCAAGTAGTATTTTATTTGGATATGCAACTTTGTATGCATAATCAATTCTGTTTTTTGGTAGTGGTGGTTGAATTTTAAGGATGGGTTGTGCTTGAATGTGCAATATGTCTACATGAACTACTGTAAATAGGTTTGGTAACATGTATCTTGGTCAGTTGGTTAAGCTAAAGGTTTTTAGTTTGGTTCTCAAATTTTCTACCTTTTGTCTTTTGACGGATTTGAATAGTTTTCATTTCTGGTTTCAGCTAGTATCCAAGCTAATCTCAAGTGAGGCAACAGCATCTAAGTCCAGCGTGAGAACTGGCCTGGGGTATTGCAACAAGATCCAGAACCGTCAATGTTAGTGGTGTCTGTATCCATGACGCCATGTTGCATGATGGTCCAGCTCAGAAGAGAGGAGGCTAGCTTCGTCCTGAGTGAGGTGATCCACCTGCTTCAAGTTCTCATCTACAGGAAGTCCCGAGCCTCTGAATAAGGTGGAAAGAGTGGTGGGTAAACAATCATCGTACTGGCTGATGTTCTTGGGCCGTAACCCTCATCTTCAGTGTGGATGTTATTTGCTCTCACTCTAATCGGTGCACTCTTGAGGCCTAGGTATAGGTGGGTTTGAAGGTAAGTAGAGGAGGTGGAAGTTTAGCTGTTTTTCCTGAGATGGGTCAGCAGTGATGCAGATCTGTGCATTTGATTATAGTTCAATCAGTGCTCTGCATTTCCTGGCCAGCTGAATGCACAGTGCAGTGACAGGCTTGGAGAACCCTGCTCAGAGGAAGCTCACTGGATATCAGCTGTGTGACCGGTTGATGCCCATTGGTAAGTAATGAAGTCTGTGGTTTGAACAGTAGAAAGTGAAGAGGTGCTGCAAGCAGTCCTTGAAGTTCCTGGACGCACATGGATCTTGGAGCAGGTGCAAGGGTGGTGTAATAGAGAACATGTCCCTGGAGCAGAGGTGAGTTTCACTTTCCCGTCTAACCTTAGCCATAGCAAACTTGATGCTATATAACCATTTAGTGTTTAGTTTTTGGACCAATTCTGGTGGATAATGCCAGACTTTAACATGCTGAATACTTACACTATGTTTCTAGAGGTGAAGCTTTTTTCTGGGTAATTTTTCCTCCCTGCTTGGTTGGGGCATTTTCTATACTAATGTGCACTTGACTGGCTGTCCATTCTGGCTCTGTAAGACAATTACTGCTTTGCATCTGATTTATTTCATGGGTGCACACATGTAAATAAATCAGTTTAGATGCACAGTAGTACAATGTTGATGTGGCACACCAACAGCCTCCTCTACTGTAGACTCCTTGCCGGTTACAGCATATCGACCAGGTACTCGTGATGGGTGTTGGCACAGGAACTTCTCTCCTCACAGGGAAGGAACTGCACTGGATCCCTCCCCTGTGGCAAGAGCCCTTGACTGGGGGTTTTCTCTTGGCTCTCTGCAGGGTGTTTTCCTGTTTTATCCTGGACAGATGCTGCACCATAAACACTTTACAAGTTTAGTACAAAACTGGGAGTAAATGTTCTTGTGGTTTTCCAAGTGCAGAGGATCATGCCAAAACTGTCTACTAGGTTTTATGCTGCCGGAAGGGTTGACCAGATCTTTGCTCCCAGACGGATGACCTTTCATCACCAGGAGTGGAGTACAGATGGGGCTGGTCTCTGGGATCTTTAGCAATATCTGCTGGAGGAATGGGGTGCTTGTTCAAAGGCTGAAAGTCAATGGTAACATCAGAGGATCTAGTGGGTGTAGCGAGTCTTTCTACCCAGTAAGAGAGATGGTTCATCTTGAGAATACTGGTTACAAGGGGTACTTCATTTTTCATTGGGTACATTTGGGTACTCTGGCTATGTTGGTTCATTTGGCTACATAGAGTATATTGGGCAGGCAACCTTTGGCATGTGCATAGGAGTTGCAGCAATGGTGTAGTACATGGTAGATTCAACTTTTTCTTTTGCCTACTTAGTTTTGCACTTACAGTGGACTTGAAAGACCCTAATATCTGGGTTGGAGGAATGTGGGACAATATGAAAGCCTTGTTGTCTTTAGTTCATTTCATGGAGAACTGAGTATTTGATAGTCTTTAATTTTAACTGATCTTGGAAGAGAAGCAAGAACAATTTGGGTTTTGTATCTTTGGGTCAGTGAGATGAGTATTTGAGGTTGGGTTCAGTTGTGATCACAGTTAAAGGAAGGATTAAGCTGATAAATTTTTTACACTACATGCATATTCCAGTGACCTGGCGACACCTGTCAGATGTAGTAATTCAAAAGGGTCATGAGCTTCCCTGGAAGTTGGCTGTCGGTAGTATAAAGGGAGATGAAGGCTGCCTTCTTACTGAACTTGATTTGTTTTCATTGGTTTCATTGTTTGCAGATGTATCAGTCCCTCACCTCATGTGAGTGTGATGCCAACCTACAAGATTGCCCAGCTCTGGGACAAGGAGCCTGCATTTGGTCAGCTGAAGTTAAGGTGATACTTCTGCAAGAACCTGTGACTCTACATGCGCATTCCAGCAGACTGGAAAAGTGTAAATACTGGTGATGAGTAAACTTTTTATCCCACTGCCTGATTAGTTTACTCCTAACTCATCTTGCATTATTAGTATAGGTTTTCAAATAGTTGTTTAAGATGTTATCCTTGTTTGATCTTTTTGGCATCAATGTCAAAAATGATTGAATGGGGGGGGTTCTGAATTTTCTTTAATTTCCACAAGGTGCTGTTTTCCCAGATCTGTCTCCGTGGGGAGCAAGGAGTGCTACTGCTTGGGGAAGTGGACTTGGGCTTCCCTCAGTGAACAAGGTGAGTTGAAGGCAAGTAGAGGAGAGATGCAGGTCAGTGTGAGGAGAGCTTTTAATGTGTGGAGGAGGGAAATGGACATTTTGTTTTGTCCTTAGTTGGTGCACTGAGAGGCAGCTGTCAGAGTTGGGATGGTTTTCAGCCCCTGGTCTCAAGAGAAGAGTGTCAGTATCTTGGTCAATTGTTTACAGAACAGCCTCTCTCAATAAGGCTAGACCATGGTGGTGCTGAGTGGTATGAATGACTTGTTTTGTTTTTATAGTGGAATGCCATGATGGGTGCTCCCCAGTCCCTTCCCACCTGAATGCAGACATGGAACAGTATTGGCTGTCTGAAAGGCATCAGGAGTGTGATCCAATTCCTTTCTGTGAGTATTGAAGTCCTGCAGATGGAACACCAGAAAGCAAGGAGGGGTTTGAAGCTGCCCTTGCTGAATCTGCTGGGTAGCTGTGGATGTAGGAACACATGCAAAGGTAGTCATGCAGGGCATTGGTGAGTTGTCATTTTTAGTTTCTGTTCTTTGATTTGGGAAAGTGTAGAGATGTTCAAGTTGGTCATTATACTCATATAGAGGTATATGGTGTAAAATGCTATATAACTATCCTCGGATGGTAAGTAGTACAAAAAAGAAGCGATGTGCAAAATCATGCATCAACAATGAAATAAAGGATCTAAAGTTATGGGGAGTGAGGTTGAGGTAGATTTCAATGTGTGTTTGAGCTTTAAGAGAAGGTACAGTGAGGGTTCAGATCATGGGTGAGAGGCTGGCAGTTTAATAGTGTGGGGGTAAAAACTGAGTTTGGTAATCTGGGCCTGAGTGCTCCAGTACCGATTTCTGGATGGTAGAAGGTCAAACGCTCTTCTTGCTTGGGTGTGTGGAGTCTTTGCTTGGAGCTTTCCTCAAGCACAGTCTGTCATAGATGGACTGGGCAGTTTTCACCACCTGCTGTAGGGCTTTGTGGTCGGCAACACTGCAGATGCAACCTGTTAGTGTACTGTCTGTTGTGCATCTGTATAAGTTGGTGAGGTTCTGGGGACATCTTGGCCTTCTTCAACTGTCTTTGGAAATACAGGCTCTGTTGTGCTTTCTTAATCAGATAAGTGGACAATGGACTTGGCACACACCCCTGGGGAACCCCAGTGTTCCGAGTTTGTGTGCTGGAGGTGTGGTTTCCAAGCCTGACAGCCTGTGGTCTGCCTGTCAAAGTCCCAAATCCCATTGCAGAGGATGGTATTGAGACCCAGTGTACCGAGTTTTTTTTTCTGGAATGATGTTAAAAGTGGAGCTGAAGTTGGTGAATGTTTTTCTTTTTTTTTTTTTTTAATCCAGATGGGATAGGGCAGTGTGTATGGCAATGAAGACTGTCATCTGTGGATCTGTTGGTACGGGTCTAGTGTTGGAATTGTTTCCTTAATGTGCCCCATGACCAGCCCTTGAAGCACTTTACCATTATGGTTGTCAGCGCCACCGTGTGGTAGTCATTAAGGCCTGTTACTGTGGTTTTCTTTGGTATTGGGATGGTGGTTGTCTTGAAGCAGGTTGGGACTACAGCTTGGCCCCAAGACATGCTGAAAATGTCTGAATACACTTGGCAGTTGATTGGTTTAGGTTCTGAGCATGGAACTGGGAATGATATTGGGCCTTGTGCACATTCACTTTTAGCAGAGATCTCCTCCACATTTGCAGAGAGTGAGAGCACCTGGTCGGTTGTGGAGGGTGCAGTTCTGTTGAGTGGATTCGAACTGACTGTAAAAGGTGTTGAGCTTGTTGTGCAGGGAGGCATCATGGGCAGGTGCACAGATGTTTTCTTTCGTAGTCTATACCGTCCCACGTGTGTTGGGTCATGAGTGCTGAAGTGTTCCTCTAATTTTTGTTTAAGTGTTTTTTGCATGTTTAATACCTTTCTTTAGATTGATCCCGGCTGACTTGAGTTTTGATTTATTCCTTAATTTGAATGTTCCATACCTAGCTTTGATTAGGTTGTGAACCTCTATGGTTTCGGTTTAAAAAAGGTTCACTTCTTTTGAGTGTTCCACTTCCAGCACGTCTTGATGTTGCTAGTGACTAATGCATTTTCCTGTACGTCTGTGTGTGATCCCTGTGTGGCTGCCATTCTGACTGCTAGTTTTGCTTGCCTGCACAGTTTACTGTATGTGGGGAGGAGAGACTGATGTGAGCAGTGTATAGTACTTCTAGTGCTTCCTTGTCATTTGAGCTGGGGGGGGAATGTAGATGGTGATAAACTGTAAATGCTCTCAGCAGATTATTGAAACTCTAGAGTGGCTGAGCAGTGTTTTGTGATGGTAGATGCGTTGTTGCACCACACATTAATAAAAATGCATACGTCCTCGCCTCTGGTTTTACCAGACTCTGCAGTTCTGTCCATGTGGAAGGCAGAAAACCTGTCTAGGTGCATCGCCTAATTCTGTCAGTCATGTTTTGGTGAATACATGAGTACACTAGTTGTCAATTTCAGCTGTGACTCTGGAAAGCTACTGGCTCTTTTATAATTAGGAAACAAGTTTATACAAAATGTTTAAATGCCTTTTCAATTTTGGATGTGGCTTATGTTTGTGACTTTGTGGCCAATTTAAGCTTCCTTAAGTTCAACAGACTAAAAGTGATAAATGTAACTGATGGTCTATTATTCTTGGTAATAGTTGTCTTTCTTGGTGATTCATTGTTTCACTTCACTGGCTGTCTTTCTGGCTTTGAAAGATTTATTTCATGGGTGCGTATCGAAGTAAATCACTGCAATATAAGAGACTTGGCACACCAGCAGACTCCTTGTCATGTCAGCCAGGTTCTGCTGATGGGTGGTGGCACAGGCACTGCACCTGAGCCCTGGACTAGCAGTTATCCTGTTGGCTTGTCTTGAATGAACAAAGTTGGCTGTGGAAATGTCTTGAATGTTTCTAAAACGTGCAGAGGATCAAGTCTAAATCTCCACCTGAGTAACTTGCAGATGTGGTACACTCTAGACTAGGATTGCAGCTGGGGTTCATTGTAAGGATTAAGTTGCCCTAAAACCAAAATGTTTTCATTAAAAGTAAGGTTGTCTGTTTTAGTGTAGAAAGGGGAGGGATGAGTTTCCACCTGTCTGGAAGTGGATGTGTGCTGTGCTTTGTGAAAAAGGAGGGCTGCTTGAAAACTAATGCTTTTGTTAGAGGACTCTCGTTTTTCTTTTAAACAATTGCAACTGCATGTTGTTCCATGTACAAGTTTGGTACTGATGTATAATATACAAAATGGTGTGTAGTTTTGCCCTGTGTATCCTGTACAGCAGTCAAGACAGAGGAGATGTGGCTGTAAAAGTGTGTACTCAGGGAAAGTGGTTGCTGAACCTTTGTTTTCAGAAGAGTTTCTAGTCACTGGGGAATGTGAGGTTTGGTTTTATGAAGGGTTTGATCTGTATGTGTACAGGCTGTAATCTCCCTGCAGGTAGAATGCATGTAGTGGCTCGAAGGTTTAAATCCATTGGTTGTGGCCCATCACTAGGTTGTGAGTTATTTTTGCTTTGGAGTTTCAGTTTTAAATGTTTAAGCTTGAAAACCTTTTCAGTCCAGGCTGCAGTTCTTTGGTACTGAATATGGTCAGTGTTTTCTCGTTCTACTGTGGATCTCAAGGGTATTGGGGCACCTTGAATTGTTCTTTATGTAAAACCAAAATTTTAATTTGGTCTTTAAAAGGCACATTACTGCATGTCTAGGTCTGCGTTAAAGCCCGAATTTCAACCTCTACCTGATTGGATGTACGACTGAGAATTTGACTTAATACCAGGGTAATTTTATTAAAAAGAGGGATTTGTTTGACTGTCTTGTCTACATGGAATACAACAATAAATGGATTTGGTCATCCTTGTTTACCTGGGTTTTTGGACAGTAGAATCTAAGCTAGAAGCTTTTAGCTTAATTTTGAGGGAGGAGTTGAGCTGGTCGCTTATGTTTGCAGATGGATGCACCTGGGATCTGAAGTACTTGAATGCTTTGTTTTGTACTGTATGCGAGTTGGTGACAATTAAGATGGAGTTTTGAACTGAATCCAGAGATTCTTTGGATATCTTCTATTGAAAGAGCAGAACTACAAAGAAGCTGATAGTTGTCTTTTTGGTTACTGCCTGAATTGCTGAACTTGTTTGCTGTGTGATGGAGAGTTTGCAGGAGTTACTGTCTTTTAACACATGGGTACATGACACCATGCTGTTGATGGGGAGCTCAGTGGCTGGCTAAAAGGATACATTTGATTTGATGCAAGTATTAAAGTCCTGCGCTTTTAACAATGGAGAGTGAAGAGATGTTTTGCAGGTTATCCTTAAAATTCCTGGATGCCTATGGATCTTGGAGCAGTTGTGAAGCAAGTATCTAGGAGGATTGTGTTCCTGGAGCAGTGGTGAGTTTCACTTGTTTCTCTAATGTCCAAATCAAATGCATTTTTAATTTGTCCTTTTGTGTGTAAGAAGTGTTTTTGAAGGTTGACAAGCTGCTTTTGGGTTAGGCCTAGCTTTGAGCTCTTGATGTGATGCTTTAATGTGCTAAACATTGAGTCATAGTGGTGTTTTTTTTCTGGCTTATTTTTCCTCCCTGTTTGGTTGAGCTATCTGTATACTCATGTGCATTTGACTGGCTGTCATTCTGGCTCTGGAAGATGGAATTAGTGCTTTGTATGAGATTTTATTTCACGAGTGCACATGTAACAAATCACTTTAGATACACAGCAGTATGATGGTGACTTGGCACACCAGCTGCTGTCTCCAGTGTTGAGTCCTTGCTGGAGATGGCATTGAGGTTCTCTCGATGGGGGTCGGCACAGGAACTGCTCTCCTCCCTGGGGAGGAGCTGCAGTGGATCCTGTGGCAAGAGCCCTGGACTAGGGGGTTTTCCCCGTAGGGCGTTTTGCTGTTGGTTAGTGCTGGATAGGTGTTGCACTGTATGTGGGGAGTGGAAATGCTGGCTTGACTGTTTCTAAGAAGTGCAGAGGACTTGGTCTAAATCCTTCTCTCCATTTCAGGCTCTGTGCTACCAGACGAGATGAGCAGGATTGTGCTTCAGAGGGAGGATCTTTAATGACCAAATCTGCAGCACAGATGGGGTTGGGCTCTGGGATGTTTGTGAAGATCTGCCAGAGGAGTGGGGTGCAAGTTAAAAGCAGCATCAGAGGATCGAGACGGGTGAGTTTCTTCCCCCTCCTAGGAGGCGTGATGGAGCATTTTGGGTATACTCTGGGTGTATGTTGGTTTGAGGTACATTTGTGCAGACTGCATATTGTTATATAAAGTCCAGTGAGTTTATTGGTTAGACAGCTGTTGGCATGGGAGTTGTGTAGTACATTTAGGAAACTTTTCTTACGGTTTTTGCTCTTTTAATGGACATGAAAGATACTGTTATCAGAGAAATGTAAGAATATGAAACCCTTGCATTTTTAATGATTGAGATTTTGGTTTTGTAACCTATATTAACAGCTTCAATTTCTTGTCTTTTGTGTCAAGCTGAAGACCTAGGTGGACAAGCAAATTGATCTATGTCCTTGGTAAGCAGGCAAGGAAAAAATGGGTTGAGGGAAGGGATAAGTTGTTAACTCTGTTTTGGGATGGAATTTGTGAACTTGTGTGCAGATGTTGAAATGCTTTAATGCAGATATTGGAGATGGACTTTTCCCCTGTGGTAGGAGCCCTGTACTGTGGATTTTTGCTTTTACACATTTCTGGGTGGTTTTCTGTTGGGTTTGTTCTGGAATTGTGTAGCACTGAACATTGATCATTGAGGTCAAAATGGGTGTTGGGGGTGGGAATATAGACTGGACTATTTCTGACTAGTGCAGAGGACTGTCTAGTTTTTTTTTTCTTTAGGTTCTCTGCTGTCCGGGGGGCTGACCAGGCCTTTGCTGCTGAGAGAGGACCTTTTAACAGGATGGGAGCCCAGATGCAGCGGACTGAGATCTGTCTGCGAAGATTTGCCGGAAGACTCGTGGGCCCGTTTTTGATTTCAGAAGACAACGGCCACAGAGGAGCATTGAAAATGCTGTACAAGTTCCTAATGACAAGTGAAGAATGAGGGGGAGGCCTTTTGTAGGGTGGAAAGAGGTTCAGGTGGTACATGAACCTAAAATGAATCTCTGCATGCTGGTCTTGTAATGGCTGTTTGGCTCTTGGATTGTAACTTTAGCACCTGAGCCACCTGGCAAGGAGGAGACAAAGTAACTTCCGGTGTGGGAATGGAGAAAGTATATTTTGTTACTTGGTAACCATTTTTGTAAATTATGGGCCATTTGAAAAGCAGAGTTTGAGAGTCTAAGGTCAAGCAATGATTTATTTGCATGGGTGCACACATGTACATAAATCTTGCATTGGCTTTAGAGTAAAACTGAATTGAGCCCCTAAAGTAGAAATGAATAAAAGGAGTAGTTATGCCATCCACTCGTTTGGGGGAAAAAAGGCATTGGTTTAGCTGAGAGTTGCTCTTTTTTCATACCTGCACAGAAAGCACTTTTGTCATGGGGGGGATTGTGTTCTGTTTTGTGGATTTGTAAGTACTTTGCTAGACAATGTTCTCCTGTATTGAATGTATTTTTGTTTGTATGGCATCATAATAAAACTTACTAAATGTACCAAATCTGTTCTTGTTTCTTGCATGTTGATTGTGGCTGTACAAGGTGCTGTTCATTATATTGAATACACACTGGCACTGGATCTGCTTTTCCCTGCATTGCTGTGCCATGACATTTTACACCCTAAATGAGTTTTTGGTTTCAGTTTTTTACTACTCGGGGATTTAGGTTACACTCTGCGTACATTTGGTGTAGGTAGTGGATGTTTTATGCTTCCAAGTATTGGTTTACTTTCACATAATAAACTGTTTTTTGAGAATCTAGGTGAGTTTTAAAGTATATATTTAGGCATTGATGGTGTAAAGCACAGAACTGAAATACTGCTTTGGGTTTATGAAGAGTTTTAAATTTGCCACTGGGTGTTTTTTTTTATTAGTTGTGTGAATATGCATATATATTGTAATGCAACGGGGGCTCAGGCGGGCGCCCTTGCCGCATCTGGTCGGCCCAAAGTATAGGTGGCTAGAACCCGGGACTTCCGCGTCTCTCTGCAGCGACCTAGCCCCGTGAGCTAAAGAGATCTCTATTCAGCCCAGTAGCTGTAGTCCTGCTATCACAGGGAAGGGCGGTGACATCACCCGCTCTGGTACGCCGGCTCTTACACACAGTGCTTGTCGGCCGTAAGCGTTACACTCTCCCCCGCTTAAATCGCCGTCCCCGGCGAAGGGCTATCCCGCCCCGCTTCTGACACCAATGTAACGCAACGGGGGCTCAGGCGGGCGCCCTTGCCGCATCTGGTCGGCCCAAAGTATAGGTGGCTAGAACCCGGGACTTCCGCGTCTCTCTGCAGCGACCTAGCCCCGTGAGCTAAAGAGAGATCTCTTTAGCTCACGGGGCTAGGTCGCTGCAGAGAGACGCGGAAGTCCCGGGTTCGAGCTTCCAGTCGGGATGGGGCCGAACAGATGCGGCAAGGGCGCCCGCCTGAGCCCCCGTTGCGTTACAATATAATGTATATAATATATATATGGTGGTGTCCAGTGTGAAGGAAGAGTCCTTGTGAAGGGTGACCTCTTAGCTTCCAGCTCATGAGCCCCAGTTGGATGGGTCCTATAAAGGTAGTGTTTTGACAAGTTCCATACTCCCTCCCCATTGGTTCATTAATTCATCCATCTTTGCCATTTTAACATCAATGAAACTTGACCAATCTGATCTCAGCTTATTCAGTATTTAACTCGGTGGTCTTCAGAATGTAGGGGTATTTAATTGTGCTTTGGTTCTGTTTTTGTTTTGCTTTGTGTGCTTTTTCATATAGCTTTGGCTTTGTGGAGATGTTTTGTACTTTGTTTATCCTTTATTTTGCAGTTTCCCTAATGTTATCCACCTCTGTGTTCTTTTGTGCTGTTTTTTGCTTATTTTTGTTTAGTTTACTTATGAATTTGTGTAAAGGGTTAGTTACATTTGTGGGGTATGTTTTGCAGATGTAGTTGGTTGTATGAGAGACTAGTGTAGTATGGGTGAGTGCCTTGTGTTGTATGGGTTTGGGTAGATGGTGAAGGATAGCTGGGGTGTTGGATGCTGAGTTCTGTTTTGGTAGAATGGTCACTTTCCCTCACTTTATTATCCAGCTTTTTGTTATCTTTGGCACTGCTCTTGTCTGTTTTTCTACATACCAGTCTTTGTATTTAAATTTTTTTTAGACTAAAACTTGTCATGCTTCCCGAGTCCTTAACCAGCATCCTAAAAGTTACACCCCGAGACACTTGGGGTTGTAACAGGCACACTGGACACCCCCTGCTATGACTTGCAGTGCCACCTCTGATTGGGGGGTTTTTACACCTACAGGCTGGGGGTGTGCTTGTCTGGTTTGATTTCATTTCAGAAGGGTAGGCACACTTTTGTAGTAAGTTTTTTACCTTTATTTTACGTACCCTGTTGACTAGGTAGTACCCTGCTAAACAGCATTAGTCTAGCGTGGAGGTAATGTTGACAAAGTGGTTTCTTTTTACTCTTGTCTTTGGTTGTTGCTAATGGTCCTCTTCACAGCACCTCCCATGAGTCATACTGGAGACACTTTCATATTTTACAAGGCATGTTTAATTTTAGTTTTACTTTATGTATTTGTCTTTTAGTCTTCCATTCCCTTCCCGGTGAAAATGTCCAAGAAGCAGTTTAAGTTGTCCAGTATACAAGGTTTGTGCAATGAATTTGGGTGCTGCTATTAGTATTTTTGGCTTGAGGTACTTGTTGATGCCTTTAAGTGAAGTAATAACTTCACTTTATTAGCCCTTTACAATTTCTTGCATTGGGAATTTGTCTTTTCACATACCCCAGCTTGCTCTCAATGAAACACAGACACCGGTAAGGAGAAGAGCATGGGGTCAGAGCACAGCGTCAGCCATTGTACAGCACCCCTGGAGCAGTTGGGGTTAAGGGCCTCGCTCAGGGGCCCAATGGAGGAGGATTCCTCTGCCGGCTGCAGGATTTGAATCAGCAACCTTTCAGCCACAGATGCAGATCCTTAGCCACAGAGCCACCACTGCACCCAAATAAAAGTGTATTGGATGTAGTGCTACAGATTAAGCAATTTTGTAGTGTAGGGAGTGAGATTGCAATGTGCCCTTTTTATTAACCTTATCAAATGGTTATAGCTGCAGTAGTTGTAGATTAAAGGGGTTGTTATACTTGGATGGAGTTTGAGAGGTTGCAGTTTAGGGAAGCCAACTGCTAGCAGTAAAATAAATTAAATTTTTACTTTAGGCTTAGTGTAAGAACACATTTACAATTTTCATCCTTTTAAAGTCATTAGATTATTTAGTTTGTGAGGTATTGGTTTTATAGAGGGTTTGATTTTCAGTGGTTTAACTTTACAGGTCACTGCATTGCTGAAGACGGGATGGGATGCCAGTCCATTTCTCCTGTCTCATTGTTCCAGAATGCAATTAACCTACCTTTGTGTTCTTGAAGTTGTGCAGGAAACACAACTTGGAAGAAAATGACATGAGTAGTCCAAAGCTCATTCTGATGCACTTGTTCTATAAAGTGTAATGTGTAGAAAAATAAACTGGTGACACAAGTACCATGTGTAAGGAGTGTTTATTTTCATGAGCTTTGCATGAAGGCGTCCTTTGGAACCATGATGATGGCTTGGAGAGAAACAAGAATGTGCACATTTAATACACAATGGTATGTATCATTCATAGGGTGAATAAAAATACTGTTTAACATGAGTTATCATGTAATAAACTTGAGTGGGTAACTCACTTCATTTTTAAAAGAACCCAAAAAAGTGTGTATAGGTCAGGTTGTCCAGATCCTGGCTCTTAAAGTTCAACTGCTTGTAGACATGTAATTAAATGTCATTTATTAAAAACACAATGATGACATACTGAGTTTAAAAAAAAATGCCACTCCAGTATTCATATATCAAGGTTTTGTTGATTTATTACTTTTCTATTTTTGGTACAGTAGCTTAACTGCTCAGTTTATTCTACTAGAGCTCAGGGGTCTTTTTCTCCAATCCCAGAAGTTAGTGTGATTTGGGTCAGTCCAGTACAGAATGTAATGACCTTTAAAATTAGAATCTATTTCATTAATTATATCCCAGTTTTTCCAAGTACCATGTTAATCATAAAAATGCCAACTTTGTAGGATTTAAATTGTAAGTGCATTGTTTAGCTAAAGAGACACCTTCATTTGTGGTTTTGTTTTTAACACTTTTTTTCTTAAAACCTTTAATAATTTAGCACATTATGAAATAAATCCTCTTAATTTATATGGACATGGACATGTTTGGAAGTTTCCACCAATTTAGTCAGTAGAAACTTTAACGTGTGAGTAGGTTATTGCAAAAAAGGTAGTAGATTTGGTTAATAAATATAAAATAAATAACAACATACTTTTCTCAACAAAAGGTTTGAAGTAGGAGCCAAGTGTATTTAATCTAAGTACCCCTTTTCTAAAATAAACTTTGTAAGAAACATGGGACTAACCAGCAAACAAAAGATTGGTCCCAACACAAGGAAGGAAACAGTACTCACCACTCACCACGCTCCTCAGCTCCTGGACTCTTGAATGAAAACAGAGGCACAGGAAGTCTGCTCTTTTATCCTCTGAGCTGGGCTGGCTCCTCCCCCTCAGAATGTACCAAGTCCAGTGAGGGGTGAAACCTTCACAACTGACTGCTATAGTGGCTGGCTGAATTAAATCAACAAACTCAATATAATACATCTATTAATTTGAAGATGGATAATGAATTTCTCATTTTTGGGGCTAAATAAAGTGCGACTGATTGAATCATGCACTTTTGAGCCTCTTTGTGTTTTTTGATCAAGAGATTTATACAGATGTAGGCATTCAAGTGCATGTTTAAACCTGGTTAATATGGAATCTTAATATCGAATTTAAAAACCAAAGGGTAATTTTGGTAGCTGAGCATAAAAATAACAGGAGCATAAATCTTTGAACATCATATCATCATAAATTATATTGATTTAGAAATATAAACATTATACTTAATGTCTAAGACTGATAGAGGTATCTTAAATAAAAAGTACACAGAAGGATTGCACTTTACAAACATTTTATGCATCAAAGACTCACTTTATGTGGTTAAGTTTTGATGTGCTCTTTCTGACTATGTTAAATTGAAAACATTATTAAGATTAAAATATTATGGATTCTTTTAAAAAGCATATCAATCTTCTCTATGAATCCTTGCATTATTCCAGTAAAATACATGTACTTTTTAGAATTCACCGAATGAGGTAAGATTAATTTACTAGCCATATACAATTATAAAAGAATTTGTCTTTTTCACATAACCCAAACTTGCTGTCCATTAGATACAGAGAGGTCTGGGGCCATTATACAGCACCCCTGGAGCAATTGGCCTTGCTTAGGCGCCCAATGGAGAAAAAGCCCTCTGATAGCTGTGGGATTTGAACCAGCAACCTTCCATCCACAGGTGCAGATCCTTAGCCACAGAGCCACCACACTTTCCTCTTGGGGTTATGAAATGGAAATATGTAGTAAAAGAAATCAGTAATCACATTAATGGATCAAAATATTAAAGATTTATGTAA